TATGCTCTGTGTGCGGCAATGGCGGAATTCGGTGATGTACGTGACAGATCAGCCGACTTCGATTCCGCCGAAGAAGATCTTATAATTGTTGATATTCTTGACGACGAAGATGATACACCAGTGGACACGGAAGGCCAGTCTGGCGAAGAGTGGCAAAGCCTGGACATAGCGGAGGAAGCTGAAATCTCCCGTGTAAGGTCTGTCTCATGATTTTGCATAATGACCACCTGTGCTACAGCAAGTGTATGGAGTCACACACCTCGCAGGTCTATTTCCTACTTTGCTGACCTCTAGATCTGTAAAACACCAAAGGCATTCCTCTGCTTTAAAATTCTTGCCGCACCACTTGTACAAGAAAAGAGGAACTTGTCTATTGTATTACATTGATCTATAATGAAGTTCAAGTAATACTCTAATGTACATGTCATCACTGACATGGAGCAGAATTGAGCAGAATGTGGGTGTTTTGCGAGCAGAATGCGAGCAGAATGAAAAGCAGAATGGGCCTAATTCCCGAGCATTATCCGCCGGGGCCTAGCCCTGGGCCTATATTTGAATTTTGAAGGCAGCTGGCACGCGAAAAGTGCAAGTCCGTGCGCGGTTGTCCGCCTACTGTAGGTACCGGTACTGGTAATGTAGTCTGCACTGATATGCTGTATTTATATAATACGGTGTTTGGGTCTGTTTATTAGCCCATGGGCCTATAGACGGAGGTGGGCCTATATCCGGATATAGGCCCATGGGCTTATATGCGCGGAACTCCGGTAAGCAGAATGTGCGTCATCACCTGTAGTCGCCATGGAAACGCAATCAGAAAATCGGCGATATGGCAAGTTTGCAATATCGTACGGAGCCTAGTAACAGAGGCGAGAGATATACCGTCGGAACCGATATGAAATTGTCTTTCATCTGAGCCCTACTTGAAAAATCGATGCACTTCCCTTTAAGCCAAAGAGAGAAGTTACAGGCGCGCTTGCACGTACAGAACTATAATAGACCACGTGACAATGGCACAAGGAACACCCATGTAAACACTAGACATAGTAAGCATTTTACCGTTCACGCTATTTTCGACGGTCGGCGTGTGGAGGGCGAGTCTACTGTTTTTGATGTGTTTTCTAGACACGGTTAGCAGTTCGGCTTCTGAGTCCTGACTCCTGACGCAACGTTAACGATAGACGTGTGAGGTAACCATGGTAACCCTAATTGGAATCTTACCGTTTCGTTCTCCCGCTAAAAGAGCTTTCTATCGTCGAAACGGTACCAAGCCAACGGTATTTTGGGTGTTGGATACGAGTGCTGTTGGATCTAGCGCGTGAACTGATTTTTGAACATGTCAAAGACAGTTTTAAAGAGTTTTGTCGGTCGCATTACTTCTCCCACCCATGCTGGTCATGGTGGGAGACAGTCTCCAGACTTGTTACAAAGTACATGTATACGTAGCACTGACTCCACACCTAGGCTAGGGCAAAGGCCACAAAAAGGAAGCCCAAGAGCCCGAGCGAGAGCCTGTGCCTGAGCACTGAAAGTGATGACCGGCCCGTGTCAGGGACACGTAAAGCAGCCTGCAAGCCAGGCAGAGATGCTGCTAGCCAAGACCCAGGACCTAGTGACCACTGTACGTGCGCGTGCGAATCCCAGCACTGCAGCACTGCACATATCTACCCTACTACAGTCAGTGCTGGGAGACCTCAAACAAGAATTGAAACATGTCGTGAAACGCGAAATGCAAACACTCGCGGACAGTCTCCTCGCGCCTATTGCGTCACGCATCAGTGATCTCGAGGACCACGCCCAGCACCAGCGCGAAGACATCAGCCGCATCATCGCGGAAAACAAGAAGCTACGCAAGACGCGACGGTGGAGCAGATTGCCGCAAAAACGGACGCGACTGTAATTAATATTCGGTGACATGGAGAAGAAGCTTGGCGCGATCATGTCTGCTGGAGCCGACCGTGCGTCCAAATCGGGACCCCGTGGGACTGGTTTGGGTTCATGCAGCACTGCGCCCATAAATGGCAATGACATCCGTGACATGGTCGACGACAGTGAGCTGTTGTCGTCCCGAATTGTATTGCAAGGCATGACAGGCATGACCACTCGAGGTCGCAACCTTCCCCTAGGCCCTCTCCCTGGCCCACAGTGCTTCTGGCGCATGCCGACCGCTTCTAGCCAGCTGCCTACTCTGGAATGGCCTACCCGACTGTATGAAGTCCATAGTATCTGTCCGTGAATTCAAACGCATGCCACGCGTATTTTACTTCGGTTAAATTATTCTTTATTTCCACGATGGCCCATGGCCAATAAGGAAGATAATATGATTCAAATCAGTCCAGAATCATATAAAATCAGTCTAGCAAGTAAGGAAACCAACACATTGCAGGGGGATGGGGTCACGATGGGGTACAGTGTGAGCTACTACAGGAGCATATGGATGATAGAATGAGGCTAGACGCCATTGATTTAAACGCATGCTTGCTATTTGTTTCACGCAGGTCGGGGGGTAGTTGGTTGAAATTGTGAAGGGACAGGTTGATGGGTGAGTTGGTGTGTCGGTATGTGTGTGATGTTCTCAATGTGTATGTTCTCATGTGTCGTAGTGCATATGGCTGCTCTGTGATTGGTCGTGCAAGGTGAGGCTGTTGCAGGTGAAGGGGAGCGCGGATGTACTTGATGTTGTGGGCAAGAGTAACCTGTCATAAGAGTTGCCGGGAGACTAATGTGGGGAGTTGGAGATGATGAAGAAGTGAGCTGTGATGGACTGGTGCAAAAAGGGGGATCCGCAGGCAGATACGGGCTGCTCTAAATGTAATGGCTTTCGTAACCTGCTGATGAGGCTCGATAGGATCATGCTACGATGACCCGACTTGTAAATTTGAGATCCATTTTTTTCTGCTCGTCTTGACCCTGCCTCCCCTCATTGCTACTTCCATTTTCGTATTTTTATTTTCATTTATTTTTCTCTTCATTTCTGACTCTTCTTACTGGTTGTCATCGCTTCCATAATATTGGGCAGAACTGCCCGTTGCCTTGCGATGTAAAATAAATAAACAACAACAACAACAACAACAACAACAACAACAACAACAACAACAACAACAACGACATCGCGGATCAGCGCACCCGCGACAACAATGGGATACTTCGTGGCCTAAACTGCATGGCTAAAGGAAAACTCGCGCGAAGACCTGCTCGCACTCCTTGCAGCACTTGTTCCCGACTTCAAACGGGACGACAATATCCAAGTTTCCCGACTCCAAAGGAGAAAGCAGCGTGTGGCAGATTCCTCTGATTCCGCCAGTGCTAGAGCTAGCACTCAGCCACCAGGCCCACCACGCCCTGTACGAG